GCAGGGGAGGGTTCCGGGGTCCTTCGAGGCGCTCGAGACGTTTGGACGCGGTCTCCGGGCAAAAACGAGCGATCGCCGAGTTTTCGCTCGCGGCCCGGGAACGTCGCCCCGGGCAAATCGTCTCGACGGGTCCGACTTTGGTCCCCCGCAGGGTCCTCGGCCGCAAAGAGCTTGCATATGATACTTGGCTCGTTCCGTCGAGTTCCATTAAGTCGGGCTTTGATCCCGGTTAATTAAGGCCGGGCTCCCGTTCGATTTGCGAGTCGGGACAACGCGGACCCTTTCATCGCGAATGGACCCATCGACGCGACCGCCATCTTGGAAAACGTCCCACTCGGTAGATTCCGCCTTTCCTTTTCCTTCCGTATCTTTCTTGATTTATTACCCCTAGCTTTTAGTTCCTCGATGCTTAGTTTTTCATTTTCTACTTTATTAAATTCTTCCCGTCCCCCCTCGCCCTCTAACCTCGCACAATGGACCCGATGCGTGGGTGGCCGGGGCTTAGCGGCCCCTCGCCGACGATAAATCCTTCCGGTGATTTCGAGAAAGAAGAGAAAATTAACCGAGAGTATCCGAAAGATTCCGCCACGGGGCACTCGGTGCATCTCAAGGGGACGGGAGAGGCCCGACTCTTTCGCCGCGTGCGTTCGTCCGCGTCTCGGGGAGAGATTCTCTTTCCTCGGAGCATCGGAACGTCTCAGGGGGCGCGATCGCGTTTCGATTCCCCGGCTGCCGGGTTTCGGCGCCTCGAGCTAATTGCCAGACGGGATAATTACTCCCTCGGGGGAAGAAGTGCCGCGGAGCGTCTCGATTCCCCGGTTACGGGGCGTCGGTTCGGCGAAAACCAACCCCGCGGGCCCGAATTTTGCGAGGCGGAATTCCGACGGATCGCGCGACTCGCGGAAGATTCTCGGCGGCGCGGGGGAATTTGCTCGGTCCGTCGTGCTTCTTCGTTCGTTTCGGTCTCGGCCTCGATACCGAAGCAACGCTCCGTCGGATATAAATTCATTTTTCAAGGGCCGCGGTTCGGCGGAGGGCAGCGCCCTCGCCGGCCGCGGCGATGCGCGATGAATTACAAATGTAACACCGGCGCCCAAAGTGCGGCGTTAAATTTCCATAGACGGGTACTTAAGCTCGCTCGGGTGCCCACGACTTCGCGAGTGCCCTCGCCAGACGCGCCCCGCCACTTAACCGGCTCGGCTACGATTTACCTTTTCGTCCTTTTCCATTCGCTTTCGACTTTCCAACCCCTGGAAACTGCGCTCCTCGCGGGGCCGTCGATAATCGAAGAGGCATGCCCGCCAGACATAGGACGTCGCGGTTTGGAATTTGCGAGAGGAATCGAGTCTCGAATTCGTCCCGTCGCCTCGAAACCTTTAGGGGATTTTGATGCCGTGGGCGTGCACTTTGAGGGATCGGGTTATACCCTATTTCGCATAGCGCTCCCGAAGTACGTGTCGGCCGCGGAGGGAAATTTGGCCCGGCCGGGAGAGGCCACCCCGAAAGAACGGGGAGGATGAAAACCAGGGGAATAAGTAAGCGTCGAGTTAAGTGCGCAGAATCCGCGGAGCCCTTCTCGCGAGAGGTGAGCACGGGTATTCAATGGTACGGAGACGGTAACCGATGAGATCCGAGGTGCCTTGCTTTTCTCCGGCGCCTTCCGCAACCTCCGCGGGTACGCGGAAGGTTGCCCGTTCCGGCCTCTAGAGTTTTAAATATTTCTTACAAATTTTTGGATTTACCGCTGCTTATCCGGGAACGAAGGAAGGTAGAAGATGGAGAGGGTATCCCGGAAAGAGGCGAGGGGGTGGGAAACCACGAGAGAAAATAAACGGTAACTTAAGTGCACGGCGCGCTTCGGAGGAGCCGCGATCCTCTTCCTGCTAAAAGTGAGCACGAGTATTCAATGGTACGGAGTTGGTAAACGATGAGTTATGGGGTGTCTTTCTCGCGCCTTCCCTACACCCCCGGCGAACTCGCTTTCTCGCCTTTGCCCGGGAAAAGTTGCCTACATCGGACCTTCTGGGCTTTATACGAGTTTTGCGAACGTTGGTGTTTGCGCTCGGTACTTGAAGAACGGTGATAATTGAAATTTGAAAGCACCCGCAAAGTTGTCGCTCTCGGCAAAAGAAGGCAGAGACGGCGAAGAATCGGAGACGGTCGAGACCCGGTTCTCGCGGAGAAATTCAATTTCGATGGTTACGTTGCCGGAGTGACCGGCTTTTCTTCGCGGTGTCGCTCCTCTCGGCCGGACTCTGGAATCGACCGGTTCTCCTCGTCTCGGCTGCCTTTAACACGTTGAGTGCGGCGTCGGTCCCTGGGGACCGACAGTGAACTTTCCGTCTGGGCGGCGTCGGTCCCTCGGGACTGACACGGCATCAAGAATCCTATATATAAAAAATTGTGCCGCCCAAACGGAAAGCTCAGCAAAATCGGTTCCGCGCTCAACGTGTTAAATACTTTCCTTCGCCTCTCCGCGAAATATCCTGGCTAGTCGCTCTCCTTCGTAACTCCGAACCGTGGCGAAAACGTGGTCCCTTTCCGATATTTGCCAATCGCGACGATCGCTCAACTTTGTCAATTTTATCCCCGTGCCCGTCAATTTGTTCCTTTGCTCGGTGTAGAGAGGAAGGACGGGCGCGAGCGGCAGTCATTACGACGCTTTGCCTGGGTCTGGGAACAAAAGTTAATAACGCCGTCCATTGCATCGTGGTCGACTTTTGCGCGTTCTCGTTGTATCTCCATCGGTGCAATATTTTTCGGTGGAGCGTTTTTCGCGAAGAAAAAGAGATCCGGTCAAATTCGCGGCGGAGAGACGGAGATTCCGCTCTCGATCCGACTAGGAAAATTGTTTACAAACGGGGACAAAATTAGGCGACTCCATTACTCGCGGGTTTAATTACCCACCCGAAAAGTGGCTCGAGCCGCCGTTCGTTCCGCTGATAATTGGCCAAATATCCGGGGACCGTTATTTAATAAATAAATGAAGCCACGGTTCCTGGGCGAGCAGAGCCTAGGTCGGTCCGCGCGATTGCCACCGAATTGCACCTGCTCGGAACGCAGCGGCCGTTCCTCTCTTTTTATTGTCGGGGAAAGCGAGGAATTAAAGGCGTAATTATGCCAGGGGCATTAAGCGGATGGCTCTTCGTAGCCGTCGCGGACGGACGAGCGGCGGAGACATCGGGACATCCGAACTCGTTAGCTTTGTCCTTAATGCGAAGCTGGAGCGGGTGCCGGCTGCATATAGAATTTCAGCGGCTGTCAGCGCCGAGCTGGGTAATTCGACACAGTGGATCGTGCCGGAGCGGAGTAACGAAATAGCAAGTTTGGCTCCTCTTTGAGGCCGGCAGTTTCGAACTTGCCGGAACGTCGAGTGGCCTCGCTGCTGCGAAACATCGGCATCTCCGAGGACTTGGCCAACTCTAAAGGCCGTTTCTCCTCGTTCTATCCCACGGTCTCGTCGGACTCGACGACATCGGGTTTTCGGGAGTCGAAAACGTCGCTCCGCTCCCCCGGGAGAATATCCCGCCGCGAGGGCGACGGGGCAAAAGGACGCCTAATGGGTACTCCGAGCACCGTATATCGACGGGCACCTAAGACGCGGGAGAGCAATTATATCGCGCCGTGTAGCTCGATTCGTCGTTTCCAGGACGCGGAGATGCAAATCCCCCGATCCGATCGCGATCGGGTCGCGGAGCGGATAAGTCGGAAGATCTTTAATTGCCCTCGTCCGGGACGCGAAAAAGTCGGGCCGCGGGCGTTGCGTTGGCTCCGTTAAACGGGTATTAATCGGAGGGAAACTCGGGGATCCGACCTGGCGCTTTCGGGTGAACGGTCTCCGTCAATGAACCCGCGAGTAAGCGGACTCCGGGACAAAGTTTCTACCGAATCAAGCCCGGCGACGCGGGATGCAACTGCGGCACCGCGACCCCGTCTACGACTCCGAGGAGGTGCGCGTGTGCGTGTTTTTACGCGCGTGTAGGTAAACGCGCCGGCATAAATACACGCTTACACCCGGGTGGTCGGACGGGCGCAGTTGAAACGACAACGCGTCCCGGCAGCACGAGCGAGGCTGATTGTTACGGCAACGACGTTTTCGGTGGGTACGTCCCTCGTCGTTGTCTTCGCCGCTTCCTTTGTCGGGGGGGTGTGGGAAAGCCGATTTAATCCCAGGATGGATCCTGCTGCTAGATATGACGCGCACTCGTCTTCGGGGGCCCGCACCCGGCACAGGGGGCAAACTTTGAGTATACACTTCGACGCCCGAGTTTAGAATTCGAGAGCCCCTCGCGGGGCGCGGGAGAGCCGGAGGAGGGGAACCGGCGGAGAAAGAGAGCCCGGATCGGGTTAATTGTAGACTCGGTCAATAGACGGAGTTCGAGGTCGAATTTTCTCCTCGAGGCTTCCGGCGCCCCTCTCGAGGCACGCCGATCCATACGGCTCCACCTACACGCGGATGCACGCGTTGCTCCGCGAGGTGGGCTTTCGAGACGCGAAATTGCCCCACGGTGGCAGAATTCGGCGAACCGGCGGTGCTTCGGCACGGGCTGCAGTTCCAGGCTGGGAGCTCCGCGGGAATTGTCATCGTTAACCCGATTCTTCCCAGATATGGGTGAGCGAGGCTTTTATGGAGGGACGTAAACGTCTATTGTTTTACAGCGCTTCCAAGTACCCTCGATCGAATAATCGCAGGTATCGTTCCATCGTTCCGCTTCGATCCGGACCTCCGAGTCGACTAATTCGCGTCTTATTTCCGCGATCCTTGTCCCTGATTTGCCGACCTCCCTAGCCGGAAAAGTTTCGTCGGGCCTGCCGGGGGAGGCGCCTGCCCCTCGGTAAGAGTACCGGGCGGGACTCGAACGCGTTGCTTCTTTCGACCGAGAGGACGGGAAACGTCGGCGAGGGTCGCGAGTCCTTTTGAGGAGGCGGGAGTCTAGCGTGCCGACGCGAGCTCAAAGTTCCCTCGGCCCGGCCTCGGTCAGTCCTTTGTGGATACTTACCGGATACCGGAGTTAAATCGCGATACCGCCCCCTGTGTCCGGGTGCGCTCCCCCGTGCAGTCGGAAACCCGCTAATTGGGTCTCGGCGGTGCCTCCGGGGTCGCCCCTCGGCTCCTCCTCGGTTCCGTCCCTTGGCCCGGCGTCGTCGACTTCTTCGACCTCTTCTTCGCAGCCTCCTCGTCGTCCGATCGCCGAGGCTACTCGGCGCTCTTTCTCGGCCGCCCCCGACCCGCCCCGAAGACGCTGCAACTCGAAACGCTCGACCGGTGTTTCTCGACGATTTGTCAATCGACGGCGGATCGTGAACGTTACTCTGTACATAAATATATAGGCGTATTTATTTGCAAGGGGGGAAAATTGCTCGGAGAGGAATTACAGCTCGTCGGGTGAACGTACAATGGCACCGAGGGCATCATCTGCCGCGAGACTTTGGCGAGGTGGCAGTGAAACGGTTGGATGCGCTTTCCTCTCTGTTTTCTATATTTCGCATTGTCCATAGATTTCTTTTATCGTTCTCTAAGAAATTTACTTATCCGTTCTCATTGCGGCGACCCGTACACGAGGGATACACGAGCGGCAATAGGCTTGTCGCGAATTTTCGGGACCTCCCTCCGACCGACGTTGTGCAATTTTATCCCACGCTCTTCTCCCGGAGGGAGATCATCCGTAGCTCCTCCGCTGCGAGCGCTCGGGATTCCTCGGATCCGATTTTTCCGTTCGGTGGCCGAATCGGTTCCAGATTGACCTACTCTCTGCCGAATTTCTACCCCCGGTAATAAATAACGTACACAGAGTTTGCCGTTTTAAAGATACGCGCTCGAAGAACACCCGTCGTTCTCCGCGATGCTTCATCGGCGGATGAAAACCGTCCGCTCGGGCGACTCGTCCACCGGCTCGAAGTCGCGAAGAAAGCGACTCGCGACTCGACTCGGTTTCGGGAAAGCGGTCCTCGGGTGGCGCCGGGGCGCGCATCGACCGCGCGACGTCGCGCCGTCAACGGGTAATATAACAAATGGAACATACAAAACTCCGTAAAGTTCCTAAGTACACACACCCCGATCCACGGCGTTACACCCCTCTAAACGGTCGTTAAACGTAAACCAATGTAAAAGGTGACGTAAACCCATGTCGATCAACGATACATCTTGACTAGTACGCTCTCCGTGGGTGGCGGCTCGTTCCTTGGGGTAGCATGGGGCGTGCCGCGACTATCTCAGCATCAGGTGCATCGCGCACATGCAAACCACCGTCAGGGAGGCCATCCCGCTGGGGTGACAGCCATTCTCCGACGTAACTGCAACAAACAATAGGTGGTATCGCCTTAACGGTCTCTCCGGTACGACTCCGGCCCGGTGACGCAACGACTGCGGAGAGAAGGAGATAAAGACGAAGAGGGAGGGAGCTCCGCGGGCCAGAAAAATTGCCGCGTCGTAGAATTATCGCCCCTTTCAACCCCTGGTCTATGCGCGCCGCCGACGTCGCTCTTCGCCGTATATCTCCCTCGCTCCCGCGCCATCGAGATGGGACATTCTTTCCGCCTCTTTGTTCGGGCGCGGACGCCGCGGATTCGCGGGCGGGGAAGACGAGATATACTCGCGGGACGAACCGGGCGACGAGGGAGAAAAAATGGCCGGATCGACGTTGGTCGAAATTTGCCGAACGTGGGATCGATCGCGGCGGGTCTTTCGGCCGATCGGCCGGCGCCGGTTCGGCCGGAGCAAGGAGGCAGCCGGAGATCGAGTTAGGTCGCGCACGGGATCCCCGGGCTCGACTCGAGCTTTCCTCGTTGGCCAAAGTGAATTTCCTAAAAACAATTCCGAGCGCCGGGTAATACGTGGCGGCCACGAGAGACGGCCAGAAATGGAACGAAATTACTGCGGAGCGGAGCGAGGTAAATTCTTGTAACAGCGGTAACGGGCCCGAGAGCCGGATGAGATGCGGGGAACTTTGTCGGCCGAGTTGGATGTTCCCGGCGAGAGGGTCGCGGGGAAGGTTCCGAGAGGTGGCCCGGATTCGGTCGTCTTCGGGGAACCGCCGCGCTCTCGGCAATTTCCTGGGCCGGCCCAGGTTCCGATCGAGCTTCGAATCGAAAGAGCTCCGTCCCGCAAACCACCCCGTGAATCCGACCCGGTCGAACGAGTGCCCACTGGCACGCGATTCACGGTAAACGGAGGGGTTAAACATGCAACAGGATTGCGTAAATATCTCGTCGAGTTAAGGGTTATAACATCGATCCCCGGTGGAGTGGATTGCACGGCCCGGGCCTTGCGGATCCGGATCGCCGCGCGGGGCACAAACGCCGGCGTGGAATCGAGGGCCTCTCCGCGGTCGCGGTCGATTCCACTCGGGTTTCGGCGCACCTTCGATGCGATCGATCAGCGGCCGATTCCCGGTCCAGCCGAGCCCGGCGATTTCCCTATCCGGCTGCGAGCCCGGCTCGTCGAGGTGCGCGAGTCGGCGGCAAGTAGTTTACGCGGGCGTAGAATGGGCCCGAATAATCAGGTATGCAAAGGTACGATAACGCGAAGCTCTCCTAAGACGGCGGAGGGAGGGAAAGTACCTATCTCGACTCGGGTTGCTCTCTCCTCGCCCCGGAACCCGAAGACGTCCAAAGCCCTTTCTTCTTGCTCGGCGCCGCGCGCGCCGCATTAGCGACCGGGGAATTCGGTTAATTCGGAGGCGCCTCGAGTTTCGCGATGTCGGCCTTGGGACTCGTAGCGGCGAACTCGGGCTCCGCCCGGGGCACGAGGGACCTCCCCGGTCGGCCGCGACGGAGTCGGAGCGGTCTCGCGGTGGACGGGACCCTCTCGGGCCAAAGTTCGAGCAGGGGCGCTCTCCAATTTCCTGACCGTCCACCGACCGCACGCGGAGGATTTCGATTCGGTTCCACCGGGCAAAGAGATAATGCTTATCTTAGTAAAACGAAAAACCTGTCGCAACGATCGTAGCTCCCGCCAGCCCCCGGATTCCATCGACGCGAAACCGCACCCTGCTGCGACCGAAGGGTCCGCGGTCGCGAACCCATTAACCGAATCAACGAAAAACCGGCGAGGAAATTTTCGCCCGAAGCGCGGCCGTTTCCGCCGGCTCGAACGGATTCGAGTTGGAAGCCGGAGGTCGGCCGAACGATAGTCCTACCGGGACGCGTCCCGCGTTTACCGAGCCGGGCCGAGGGTAATCGCGCTATTAAGCGATCATTCGCTGCTCCGGGCTCTCTCGCCCCGGCGGAGGTAGGGCCGATCTTGACCGGAATTAGGAATTTATTAGGCCGCCTAGACGGGAGACTAATGCGCGTAATGGCCGGGCTGACCGACTGCGCCACCCCGGGACTATGGTTAAGCACGGTCGTTACGAAATTCCTGTTTACCTCTCTCAGGCACTGGCTCGCGCAATCCGGTGCCCAGCTGGACTTCGCTCGTCGAAGAGTATATACCGGGTATCTCGGCTATACAGCGCAGGTTCAGCTGACCGTTCACGTAATGAAACGGCTCCAGGGTGATGCTGAGCTCGCTCCAGTGAGGCCCCGTGTCCCCGTTGCCGGAGGCCGCCTCGTTGCGATCCAGTTTCTGGAGGTGCCGCTGGAACTGCTTCGACGAGGGCTGACCCACCTGCGGGGAAACGAGTCGATCGTTACCTCCGGATGGAAAACCCTCCGCGGGTCAAGGCCTCGAATCGAACGAAAATCCCGCCGCCGCGGGAAACGGGTCGATCGTTAAACGGAACTCCGCGACGCCTTTGTTCGCTCGAGACGCGCCGTTCGACTTTCCTCCCCGTTCCTCGACCGGGAACCGACGGCTTCGCGAGGATCTCGCCCTCTCCGTCGCGGTATGGACGTTAACGCGCGACCGGGAAGGGGTCGTCGCGCCGTGCCAGATTCCTCGTCTCCGCCGAGGCGTTCGGAATTCCGCATTCCCTTTTCCGCGACGGACGCGCAAGGTCGAGGAAGAAATCCGAGGGGCGGAGCGTCGTTAAAGGGCCGGAGGAAACGCTGGCCGGGAGAGCGATCGGTGGCGATTTCCCGGAGGAGCCGGAAGGTCTTGGCCAAGTCGAGACAAACGGGGAGTCCTCGGACGTGTAAATCTGCTTTTAACGAAGCCCGCTCGTCCGGAATCGAGCGCATCCTTCGCGAGCTGTCCGCTGCAGAGAGAACCGGGTTCCGTCCCTCGGGAACCTTCCGGGGGACGGGTTTCAGCCACGATGACGGTCCCAGGAAATAGGGTCCGACGCTTACTTAATCCGGGGAAGATTCCCGCGGCGGGAAACTTCCCGAAGGCGCGACCGCGGAGGGGACGAGAGGCCCCGCAAAAGCCAAGGAGAATCTCTCGAGAACCTCCACCGTTGCTAATTGAGTCTACGCACTTGACGGGGTAATTAGGCACTTCCGGTTGTCTTCCCGCCCGGCCGAGGTCGTCGGTCTTCGATCCGGAGCCGTCCGAGGTTCTCGGTGGATCTCGACGGCCGAATTTGGTTCGCTCGCGTTTAATTCCACCGATCGAGTCGAAACGTTGCGGATCGATGAATGTCACCCGGAGACGCGACGCGGCGTCGACGGACCCGGCGTTTGGAATTTCGACCGTCGGGCGAGGCGACGTCGAGGCCCGACCGCGGGTTGCCCCGGAGGTTGCTCGAGGTGACGAGAGTAGCTCGCGTTATCGTCTCGCCTTGTTCGCGCAGTTTCGCGAGCTATATTCCCGGAGGAGAACCGACGTGGCCCTGAAATATACCGCGCTCGCCAGGGCGGTTCCCGTTAAATTTATGCACGCAACCGGCACTCTTCCTGCCGGAACGAGAGACACTTTCGCGACCCCCGAGACCCGGAGGTTTTACAGCGACCACCTTTAAACGCCGGCGTCGGGCGCCGAAGACTTCCGCTCTAACGACGCCAGCCTGTCATGGCCGAACGGTAATGGTCCGCCCTGCCGTCTTCGCGCAGTCGTTCGACGGGAATGGGGCTGTTTGCGAACCCGGGACATTTATTTGCACCCGGGCTGCCTCGGATAGGAGCGAGGCGTGTCGCGCCTCCGAATGCTCCTCCGCGGAATTCGGAGCCGCGACGCCGAGAGAGCGGTATATAAACGATAACAAGCGGCGTCGAACGGTTATCGCGAGCGCGAGTCGGCTTCGAGCGGGCGACGCGGACGGCGACGCCGCGGCGTCGGTTAATCGAGGCCGAGCAAGGGGATTTTCTCGTCCGCTCTTTTTTCCGCTCTTGATTCTCGGTCGAGATCGAATCGGGGAACGGAAACGGAGCGGCCGGGCTTCGATGGCCTCCGCGCCAGTTTGCGTCCTTAATCTCGTAAATCGTTCGGCTTCGACGGGCAACGCGGACTAAGAGGGCTTTCGCAACGAATGCATAAAATGGTTCGAGGAGGAAAATATCCGGCTTTGCGCGGACGGAAAACGGCGTCGCCTTCCGCGGAGAGACCGGAAGTCTCCAGCGGAACCCGGGTCGGATCGGGGGATCGCGCGGATGTTCCTTCCGGCGTGGACGCGTTGAACTCGCGAGATATCGCGCGATGCAATCTGGAGCGTGAAGATTCGTAAATCAAACGGAACGTCTACACGCGTTTCATCCGGAACGCCGACGTAAGTAAGCGCCCTCGTGCCCGGGCAATATGTCGCCGTTCCACGGTCATCCGAAATACGTTTCCAACAAATGCTCCGATTTCGGTACATTTTTTTTTTCGCCCGTTTCGGGTTCGGACCTTATCCGGAGACTAAGCCGGATTCCCGCGAACGGGAGGAGGAAGAGTCGGGCAGAAGCGAGGGAAGGTCGGGAAGAAAAATGAGCGGGACGGAAGGGGGACGCGCGAGCGGCTCCGTCGAATTCTTCGGGGCGATGGAACGTACTTCCGGGAGATATAAAAATGTCCAAGATCGCGACGTTTATTAGAAACCGATAGAGGCAAGCGCGATGAGCCGTCGGCGGGCTCCGGCCTTTAAGGTTGGAACCGCGCGAGGTTCTCGAAAGGGTGCGGGAAACGCGTCGGAAGAGGCGGCCGAGGGGCAGGCCGCGAAAAGGAGACGAGGCGGATCGATCGTTAAAGGATTCTCTCTCCTGGGGCTCTCGGGGATCGATCGAGGACGCCTCGGCGGGCATCGGAGTGGTTTTCTCGTCGGGACTGGGTGCTGCACCGCGGTCGAGTAATTCATCCCGGCCGAGGATCCACCGGGCATCCGATTCACCGGCGCGATAAATCGGGGCGAAAGCGAGGCGCGAGTCCCATTAGCCCCCGGCCGCGACGCGATTTTAATAATTCCCGGGGACCACCTACGCGCCGCGAGATACCCCACGTAGCGCGGCGATATCGCGCCCCCGGAGACTCGGAGCAATTTGCGAAAGGATATCACCTCCGCGTGGTATGGCGGGCACGCCGGCCTGTAAAGGGCCGCGCATAAGATAGGGACTTGGCCAGTTCTCGGAATTTTTATGCCGGGTACTTTGGATTCTAAGCGGTTTACTTAGTCGATTCCACGAGCGGTCGAATCTACGCCGACCGGGCGGAGGGAAATGGTTGGAACCGATGCGGGGCCTCCCGGGGGAAATTACGAACGGTTGATTAGGGAAATAATTGCACTTACGTCACCCCGAGGAAGCGACAGGCGTGCCTTCGAATACGATGTAATCCCTTATGGAAAAGAGAAGGTACTTTTACCTTTCCGAGGCATCCTCGAGAACGAGGAAGAGAGAAGGAAGACGGCGGTCGTGCTTAAAAAATCCCGCAATTATTTGGCGCAACGAGCCCGCGAGAGGGGGTCCCCGGGTAAGTGCGAGTTCGTGACCGGAAGAAATTCCGGTTCGGGACGCGGAAGGTGCGGCTCGACGTCGTTTGTACGACGGAAGGATTCGACGGTAGGCGCGAAAATCGCGTCTCGAGCTCGCGACGACTCGCGCGAGGGGAGCTTCCGAAGAATTCAAAGCCCTACGCCCTGATTATCCCGAAACGAGCTTCGTCCGTGTCCGCGGGTTCACGTAACGTACGCAAACCGATATAAAACTAGACGGGCGCAGCAAAAAAATTGCCGTGAAAAGTATTCGTGGGCACAAAGCGGAGAGAAACCCGAAAAACACCGGGGAGAGGGAAAAAGGAGAGCACGGCACGTTGGGGCGGTCGTGCCTAAAAAATGCCGCAATTATGTAGCACAACGAGCCAGCGGGAGGGAGTAAGTGGGTAAGAGCGAGTTCGTGACACGAAGCAATCCCGGTCCAGGGCGGAGGAGGCGCAACTTGACGCCGTTTGTACGAGAAGGTGGCTCGGGAGAAAGTGATTAGAGTGCACCGAGCACGAGTAGCGAGTCGCGTGGAGGAAGTCGTAGAGCGAAAGCGAGAACGGGGACGAGAGGGAAGGAGAGGAGCGGGAGAGACAGAAGGAGGAGGAGTGCTTTCGGCAGGGTTGAAGTACCGGCACTTTGCGTTTCCGAGTTTTGAGCCCCTGGAGAGTTTTTGCGAAATGGTTACGCGGTAGCGGCTCGGAAGACTAAGAGACGTTAACGAATTCGCGGGCACATCTCGCGAGCTCGTCCCCGCCGACATCGGAGTTTCTCTTTATTTCGTTACCTCCTCCTCCGAGAGGCGCTTCTTCCGTTGAGCGCGGCCACGCGGAGCGAGGGGCGGTTTAACCGGAGGCTCGCGATCGAGGGCATTGATAAGCCGGAAGTCGAGCCGCCGCAGGATCGTGATCCAAGGATGCTGGGATCAAAGGACCGAGCGGTTACGGCTAAATTAACCGAGGTGGATCGAAGAAGAGAGCGCGGAAGCCTCCGGCGCGAGAGACGACGTCAACGAGGTGCCCGGGAATCCGCGGTGCAGGTGCATCGACGCGAGACGCGAGATGCTCGGTTTCGCGTACAACCGGGACATCTTCTCGCGACGGGGATGGAAACTTCCGGTTACCCTTCCCCCGGCTCTCTTTGTTATTCTCGCACCGGATAATGCTGAATTATGCCGTTTTACCGTTGAAAAGCGTTTATGGAGCAACTCGTGTTTCCGCGACGGTCTCGTCCTCGATTCGTACTTCCGGCGACGCCGCGTCGTATTGTATTCGGAATGAGGCTTTTAAAGCTCCGAGAAGGGGGGGCAAAGGGATCGTAGGGCAAATCTGAAAATTGTCCGCGACTCGGAAATCGAGGGCCGATTAATGGAGTGGCGGTTAAACGCGCGCTGTCTCGAGCGTCATTAAGCTGCAAGTCCGTACGCCGCAAGGTCTTGATCTTGGAAAGCACCTATGAGATCAAAGGCTCCCGTAGTTACGGTTAAATTGCTCGGCTCGGATCGAAGAAGAGGGAACGTTAACGCGTACCTAAATATTCGCGGTTCGGGGGCCACTCCTCGATTTCGGTCCTCCAATTAAAGGAACAATTTTTTTTCCAACCGTTTGCCCCGCGGTACTTGGATTTTCGCGTTTAACGTTAACGATCAACCCGGGACGACTTCCTCGTCGCGACTCGATTCGACGCGTAACGAGAATTTCTTCCGGCGACGAAAGTCGAAACTCGAGGATCGCTCGGACGTTAGCTATCCGGATCCCTCTCTTTCTCTCTTCATTACCCTTCCCTTCCGATGCCGCGAAGGGGTCGAACGTTAATTTCCCCACCTATCTCGGACGCG